TCCTTCCGTTCACAGGACAGGGAAAAATTGTGGCAGAGATGGGATGAAATTCTTCATCAAATGAATTTATTATTGCTGAGTTACCGTAAAATTGTTCTAGGTAAGAAGCTTGCTTATGGCTCATAAACTTCTCTTTATACTATCTGAGTAGGGGTCAATATTGTCAGCTAGACTTATTAGGACATCTTGCATGAATTAGCAGATACTTAAAATACTGTAAGCTGAAATGGTTATTTCAGGTATTACAAGCTTAGAATAAAACATGCCATACTCAAAATGTTGTCCCTAGCTTTAGATAAAAATAAAGTGTTTCCTTTCATGCATTTTTGAGGTCCAGTGCTTTGCAATTTGCTTATTTCTGTTTGTTCATAATTCTTCCAAACCATGGAGTTTGGGAGAGGCATGAGCCAATAATGTCAGGCACATATTTTTTTATCTGCTGCCATTGGTTGGAGTAAATCTTATCTATCATCCATCTACCTATCTATCTATCATCTGTCTGTCTGTCTGTTTGTCTGTCTATCATCTATCTATCTATACCTATCTATCTATCTACATATCTACCTGCCTGCCTGCCTGCCTGCCTACCTACCTACATGATAGTCCATCTCAAACAAATGACCCCCGATGGTGAACAATCATAAAATTAATTTAAACCAATTAAATACTCAATGCAAAAAATAAATAGAAGTCAAGAAAAGTATAATAAAGACATATAACCAGGAAACAGGCCTCTTCACACATTCAGGCTCCTGGGCCAGGGCACATAACTAGTTCATGAAAGGCCAACAGATTTGAGGCTATCCGATTACATGAAAAGAGAACATTCCAAAGGGCAAGTGGAATGGCAGAAAGGTACACCTTGTAGACTACCAACAGGCATTCCTTGACTCATGGGACTCAGAGCATGCCCATCCAGACTGTATTGTATGGGTAGAAACACTGGAAGAAGATAGTCCCTTGGGTAACCTGTGAACCATTGAAGTTCACAAAATAGTGATCTTGCATGTCTTGTTTTGTCATTCAGTTGCCAAATCATGTCCAAATCCTTGTGACCCCATGGACCACAGCATACCAGCCCCCCTATCCTCCACTGTATCCCAATGTTCACTTATGTTCATTGTGTTGATGACACTATCTAACCATCTCATCCTCCGCCATTCCCTTTTCCTTTTACCTTCAATCTTCCCCAACATTAGAGTCTTTTCCAATGATGTGTTAAGTACCTGATACCATTTATTACCTGTACAATTGCATGCTGCACCAGTTGAAGCTTCTGAATGCTCTTCAAAGGCAGCTCCATTGCAGCAATCTAGACGGCAGGTCACAATGACAATGAACAGAACCTTCAGGTCCAGGAATGGACAACTGGTGTGTAAACCAAAGGTGTGCAAAGGCCCTCTTAGTCACAGCTGCCACTTGCTCTTCCATCAGGGCCCTTAATGCAAGCGAACACCAGACTGCACACCAAGTCCCTCCAAGACAGTGGCACCCCATCCAGGACCAAGGGAAAACTCTTGACACCAGAAGACCCAAATACCCAAAGACATTCATTCCTGCTTAGGTTGAGCCAAAAACCATTGTGTCCCTACACCCTCCAGGCACTGAAACAGGATGTCCATTGCATCACTCAGTCAATCTTGGGTGGAAATATAAAGTTGGATGTCAGTATATTGATATCTGAAATGGTCAGATCACTTTACCCAGCAGCCTCCTGCAGAAGTTAAATAAGAGAGGAAAGATGATTGACCCTTGATGCGTACCATAGGGTAGGGACTGTAGGCTGGATTTCACCCAATTAACGCCAACTGGAACCGGCCCAGGAGGAACAATACAGTGCGGCCCACATCCAATTCCTGGAGCTGGTCCAGGATACCAAGATTGATGGTATCAAAGGCAGCTGAGAAGTCAAGAAAAGCAAGGATGGATCTGCTAACCACATCCCATTTCCACCAAAAGGTTAACCCTAATCCTAACAGAGGTCATTGGGACTGGTTCTTACATAGTAATGACCCAATGACCCTGCCCCAAGGCTGGAACTCAACACAGAGCATAGCCAAGTAACTGTATTTACTAGATGTGCAGCATATTTCTCACAGTGACCTGAACAGGGCCGCTGACTGACTATCTGCAGATGCAATAAGAGCAGAAAAATAATTACTTTTTGCCATCCTTAACGCTACAAGATAGGCTCTAATAGCGGCTCTAGCTCATGCTCAATCATCCTCACCCTTTATCATTTGCAGCAGTACTCTAGGTGTCTCTTTGCCCTCTTCATCTCTCTTAGTTCAACCATAAAGCCACAGAGAATTCTGAAAGGCTACTTGGGCTGCTTTGACTACTGTTTAGACTGACTCCAAAGAGCAACAGTTGCTTTTTACTATTGGAATTGTAAAACAATGTTTTTAAAAAATAAATTATTCCATTGGCTAAGCAATAGGAATAATTTTGAGTTCTCATTGCTTCTATGAATTCACTGTTTCAAGTAGAGTTGTTTAGCGTTTCGGTATAACGCTATTTTAATTTTGTATGCAACCTTACATGATTTGCCATCACTTGTTAATACGAAGCAGGATCGATTATGAAAAAATAAAAGACTATCTCTGAAGAGATGCAATCCTCAGAATTGCTGTATTTTAGCATTTTTAAACTTATTTTTTTCACACATTAATTTCAATTAACATGGGATAAAATAGAGATTTTCCTATTACAACTACATGGGTAATTACAACCTAAACTATCAATCTGATGGTAAAACAAACTATAACTTTCAACAATTGCTTCTATCCTTTTTTACAGGGCACTTAAGAAACTCAGTGTATGAACGTATTAATTTAATTATCAAAGCTGCTAAACCCAAACTACAGTCAAAAGATTATATTGAAAAAAGCGATATAAAGCACAGCATTCACAGCATCCAGAAAAAACTCCGCCAGATTCCAGGACAGCCGATTCCCTCCCACATCAGTGAAAAGATTGAATTACTCCAAGTATTGCTTTCCACTGCTATGGATATCTAACTCTTGGAGGACTGTTGGATGCTGACACATGGACCTCTTCCTAAGTCTAATAAGTTATTTAAAAAAAATTAAAATATTCTTTCTTTGATTGCAGTAAGTTGCACTGTATTCTCAGTCACTGGATTAGTCAAGGACTTTTCAAGTTTATTCTAAATTTGTTAATAACAGTTTGTCTAGTTTTATTTCTATTTGTGTTTTATACAACTTTTATAATAAATTTTATTAACTGAAAAGAAGAATGAGCTTGGTCTTTTTAAAAGAAAGATTACAGGTTATAGGAGATTAGATAGATATACAGTATTATATTAATATAGATGTCAATCCACCAATAATAGGTCATGGTCCCAGATAAATCTTAGTAACAGATAATACATGCAGGGCTGGGAGCTTACTATTACAGTTAATTCTCAGTTAATGATAGTACTTGGGAGAAGAATTTCTGTCGCTAAGCAATATGATCATAAAGTATGATGTCACATGATTGCATTGCTTAGCGACAGCAATCCCAGAACTCCCTGTGCCATCATTAAGCGAGGATCACAGGTCATTAAGCAAGTTTCAGGCAGTTGTAAGAAGACAATAGGCAGATAAAGATGGCTGTTGCCAGGCAAGGGAGGGTGTGCAAGTGATGTGTGAATGTGGCAGGGCTGAGGATGGCTCCTTTGGATGGGAGAAGATGAGAGCGACTTATTGCAACGACTTGTGGCCTTTCCTGCTGGCTTCCCCATTGATTTTTCTTGTGGGAAACTGGCAGGGAATATCACAAATGGTGATTGTAAGACCATAGAACACTGCAACTGTCATGTCAACCGGCTGCCAAATGCCCAAATCACAAGACCGTGTGGGTGCTAGGATGGCCAGAACCTTGAGGACCAGTCATAAGTAGATTCATTCAGTGCTATCACAACTTTGAATGGTCACTGAAGAAGTCATTAAATAAGGAGTACTTTGTACACTGTGCAATAATAGTCGTACCTCCATATTAATTCATGTTTGTTTATTCTGCAAAAGTATTAGGCATAGAGACATGAGCACAAAACACTGCCAAATAAATTAAACATTAACCAAAAAGCAAGATCACTGTCTCCCGGGTACAAGCAGTGATGAGCTGACACAGCACAATCAAAGCAATGCAGGTCCAAGTTGCAGCTGTTGTGAAGAAAAATTGATTGTTTCAGTCAGATATAGCAGCACCCACAATTTATAGGAATTTGGATTTAACAAGATATAGGACATAAAAAGGGTTCATGAAAATCACAAATTTGGTGTTCAAGAAAAAAAGGTTTTATTGTAATGGAATGCTACTACGTTTCCATCTCACTGTTGAAAAATAACAAATTCACTTGACATTTAACATTAGACTAAGAAAACAAACATAATATATGCTTATTTGCTTTAAAGCATACATTAAATATTTTTCATCTTTCAGTGAATGATTCTAAAATATACATCTGTAAATATAGACATTTACTCAATCATTAATTGTAACACAAGCTGAACAGCTGAATTAAAAATCTTCTCATGTTCTATTAAGTAATTTTATTTTGGATTCCTTTGCTTCCCAAGGAAGTATGTATAGGAATGTCTGGTTTCAGAGATATTCTGTTTCAAAGTCTTTTCACAGAAGCCATGGCTACAATTTTCAAGGGATCTCCAAGGGACCTCAATTCTAGGATCCCTTTATTAAAAATAGAATCCCACTACTTTAGGAATGAAGGAATTTGCCTACATTCCACTTCATGCTGAATCAACAACAACAAAATGCACCACAAACAATATTTTATTCCATGCCACAAGTCTAGAAGGGGAATTTAATTCTTAAATTTCCTTAAACATGGAACTTTTATGCATTTGAAGAATAATTCTTCCAGAACAACACCTTAGCAAAAAAAAAAAAAATCTTTTACAATCTCTGTTACTCAAAGCAGAATAATGCAAAATATCTCAAATGTAATTTTAACCTTAAAAAAAAAAAAAAAAAAATCTTTTTCCCCCTAGATTCTGTTCAAGTTAAAAAAAAAACATTTAGATATTAAAAAATAATGCATTGTCTATTGATAATTTGGCCTGAATAGCAGCACCAAATTTAGTAGTGGGAGCACAAAAATTCAAAACAGCTTCAACTAATTTATAGCTATCCTTTTTAAAGTTTAGCTATGTAAAGCAGCACACAATTTGTTATCCGAATTTCAGTGGTAGATTACTTTGATTTATAATTTACCCGAGAGCTATTTGAGAGGAAAAAGGCAATAAATTAAGAAAGCTGCCCAGATCTCATTTCATCCCCATTTATAATTCTGAACTAGAAGGCAAAGAGTCACCTTTTTAAATCAGGGATTCGTGAGTGGAATGGAATCTACTTAAAGATGAGATCAGATGACAAGAACATACTTGCGCCACTTAAGTAGAAATACTCCTAAAAACCAGAGGGAGTGAGCACGTTCAAGTCCCGGGGTTTAAGATTGTGAGAATGTGAAGACCGCCTCTTCTCTTCGATAGGAGGAATATCCATCTTGGGAGGCTTGAAATTTGCAGAGTCCTCTGACATCCTGGTCGCCTGTATACGCATCAGTTCCATTGGAGATGGCTTCTGAGAACCCTTATATGTCTGAATGGTAAAGCCTCCTAAGACAATGCACAGCAATATGAAACAGATTACAATAAATGCTTCAATATATACCATTGCTATTACCAGAATTTCAACAAAGATACCAATTTGGAGAGGAAAATATTGCTAACAATGTCTGATAACATCTGTTCCAAAGTTATCAGGAATTTTCCAACTCTTTGAAGATAACTTGCTATGACACTATATTTCCAGACAGACCCCATCCTTCTCACCTTGATCTCATACAATCTCAGCATCCACCAGGTAACCAACCTGCCTTTGGAGCCCCACTACTCTCTGCAATCATCCTCAAAAAAGGGAAAGTTGGGGACCAAGAGATAGCAATAGCACTTAGATTTATATATCACTTCACAGTGCTTTACAGCCCTCTCTAAGTAGTTTCCAGAGTCAGCATATTGCCCCCAGCAATCTGGTTCCTCATTTTATGACCTTGGGAAGATGGAAGGCTGAGTCAACCTTGAGCCACTCAGAATCAAACTCCTGAGGTGAGCAATGGGTTAGCCCTGCAGTACTGCATTCTAACCCATTGCGCCACCATGGTTCAATAGTTGTCAATCTGGCAAGATCCAGAAAAGGCTTCAGGAGAAAGCAATACCGCCCCCTCAAGATGGAGGATATAACTGCTACCTTCAGGAGACATTAGCTGTTTTCTGTATCTAGACTCTCAGTTCCCCACGATGCTCTCTAAAAGAACCAAGAAGGACATGGATGTAGCACACACATGGCAGAGCTCATCCTGAGAAAATCCTATCATTCGGAGTCCAATCACCTCATCTGACTTAACCCATGTACAGTCTAAGCCAGAAGTGTAATTATTTTATTAGCAAAATGTTTCCCCAAAATTTTGAAGGGATGCTCAGAAAAATCTTTCTGCATCCCAAACAGGCATGGGGCACCTTAAATAGAACTGCAAGAACACAATCAGAGTAGAGAAGTAAAAAGTGAATGGCTTTATCACATCACCATCCTTATTACCACGATTTACGCTCGTGCATAAGCTCTTATCTTTTCAATGAATGGTCACCGCACTTCATGTTCACCTCCACATTCCAGAAATCAACCAGACATTCCAAAGAATTGCCTATGAGATTGCTGAGAACATTCCAGAGTGCCCCTGGAGTCTATCCAGATCTATTAAGACACCTGGGGCAGGTCATTTTAAGAACGGCTTTTCGGCGGGGGGGCTAGAAAAGAGTATTGTAATCACTAGAGTATGACTAGCTCTCATATTCTCCAATTTGAGATCAGATGTCCATGCACAAAAACCAGTATCTCACATATAGCTGCCTATATGAACTGAGATTAGTTGGAGCAAACACAGGATTGCACTAGGACCATGAATTCCTAAATCGTCTCAAGACCATAAAGATCCATAACATGAGCAGTCAAGGATACTCTATCCCCAGAGCTATAATGAGCACTAGAAAGAATCTTGCTGCCCAGCAAGGTGAGTAGTACACAAGCAAGATACCTTGTTCCTATAGCCCAACACAGGAATTCGGCATCTGCAGGTAACCTGTTCCAACAGGGCCATGTATTCCATCAATCAGCACTACCCTCCCTTCCCTTGAATCAGGAAACCTGGGAAATAGCAACACTGCTGCTCTCCCCCAATCGTACCCTCCTGGGATTTGCACACTCCTGTTCAATAATTGAGGATTCCACTTCTATTCTAATCCATTTACAAACGTTTTTCAAATTGTAACACAGAAAACGTCACCATCAGTTAGATCTTAGAAAGTAGGGAAATAGTAATAATAATCCTAGAAAGTAGGGAAATAGTATTCAACATTCAAGACAGAGTTAATGCTCCTTCACTATCTAAGTCTAAGACCTGTGTTACCATTTGCAAAAGGCTGTATCCTTGTAACATGATAGAAGTTCTGCAATTCCAATTCAAAACTGCTTCAAATTGTATTTTATTTTTAAGGGTTTTGATATACTTTCTTCCTTCTAGCCTTATTTTTTTTTTAATCTAAAGTTGGATTTCTGATCTTAATTTAAACTTTATCTATCTCATTTAGAAACTGCCCATCTCCCTCACAAGGTCACTTTTTAAATTCTGAACCTTTGTAAAGTATATTTAATTTGTTCTTTCTATGTAAAAATCATGTTTTCTCAAAATAATACTATACCTGATTCAGTAGCAGATCTCTGAAGAGCTTTAGGTCCAAAAATGCTCCATTTTTCAGATAGTACTTTATCACTATCACCACTGTTGGAATCCATGGGGCCACGATCAGGACCAGTGACTGAAGCAGAAGCTCCATGACTAAACCAGCTTCTTCAATGAAAAAGCAGAAATCAAAACAGGGGAACCAGATTTTGTACATCAGATTTCCACAAATACCTTTCTCAACAGATATTCACACTCCAAGTAAATTTAAAACATAACATACACCTACAGGAACTTTATATGAAGTGTTTGATAAAATACTCAACTGGAGAATCAAACAGATTCCTAATATGAATACTTAAAATATGCATGGAATCTGGGTAACCAAGACATTCAGACAATTTGTGATTTTACTTTCCTTTTATGAAATGTACCTGTATGAGCGCTTGGGAGAAGAATGAGGAGTGCTGCTTGGTGTGGACTGGGCAGAAGAGGCCTGTTTATCTTCTTTTACCATCTCTCCACTTTGCATCTTCAAATTCTGTTAGAAAAGCAACAGACAAATATCTGGAAAATTTATAAATTTAACCTAGATCCTATCAATAATAAAAAAAATGATTCCACATTTTTTGTCACTGCAACTTTATGAAAGTGTTTGGTGGTATGTTTTAAAAAGCTTCGTTCAAGATTGTAGGTTCTTACAGAAATGAGTAGACATATCTAAGAGCCTACTATTTTGAAGCCACATTTCTCTATTGCTATTTAGCTATTCTGCCCAACTACAATGGGCAACTAAGAAAAAAGACCAGATAGTCCTCGACTTACAACAATTCATTTAGTGAACATTCAACGTTACAACAGCACTGAAAAAAGTGACTTTTGACTGTTGACTTATGGTCATAAGTCGGGGACTACCTGTAGTAGAAACTTGAAACGCCTTCCTCAGAAAGGTTAGATTGTGATACTATGGTTTACAGTGTTACTTTCATTGCCAATGCATTGATACTGAATCAAGAATTCACAATACTATTTTTACATTGAGGATGTACTAATTCATCAAGAAGAGACCACTGTGCTCCCACTCAGAACATTCCATTTCCCAACAGACCATGCAGTTCTGGAGAAGTGGTTTCTAGAAGTAAATTATCTAGGGCAGAAATGTCTTGAGATGCTCCATTATCATACATTAGCCACTTCTGGTTCAGAGGATTCACTTCTGGGTACTGCCAAACCACACCCATACAGTAATGGGTGGGTGGGGGGGACAGAATGTTGTACAGTTCTCCAGAATTTCCCAATTCTGGATTAACAAACTTGGCACATTCCCCATTCACGCACACTTTAAACACACAATCCCAAGTCATCAAAAAAAGTACAACAACACAAAAAATAATGAATCACAGCGTATCAAAGACGCACAGCAATAGATGTCTCTCCATCCAGACATGATTCTGTAAAGTAATAACTAACCATCTCTACCAACTAGAGTAATAAACTGGCTAAATGACAGCAGGGCTCAAAGACCTTACATGGAATGACTCAGCCACACGATGATATTTTGTTTCTTCTGCAGTGAGGCCCCTGTGTGGAGTGTAGCCGACATCTCTTAGCCCTGCCTGCTGTTCAAATCGCTGAATGCTCTCCTGGGTTTGTTCTAGAATGGACAACAATACACATTCACACATTTCTCAAAACCGCCTGCTGCAGTTTTCTAAGAGCGATGTCATAAGCACCCACAATCACTAGCTAGTAAAGCAGTGTGTGGAAATTCTTTAAACCATGTGTAGCAAGGTTTCTAAAACATTCTGAAGTTGGAAACTTTGGAAAATGGGAGGGTTTGTTGCAGAGTGTAACAGCAAGATAATGTAGCAAGATAATCTATCAATGGCTTAGGATTCTGTCATACACATGAAAACACACACTTTCCTTCTCCAATTAGTTCTATAATAAGATGGTTTAAGGTTTACCATAGGTGTTTCTAGTAATTCATTACATATGTTCTATACATACAAATAAAAACTCGCCAGAGGCAACCAAGCACAAGAGCATTAAGAGTATTAAGTTCATACAAGAGCATACAAGAGTATTAAGTTCTACTACCCCCTTCAGGTTTTTTGTTTTATTTGTTAAAAACACTCCCATTTCCTGATGCCATTTTTGGTTAAAGATGAAGCAGATTATATTATTAGTCATCTAACTATACTATTTAAATTCATATCAGCTTCCAAGATTTAATCTTTAGCAGGAAACAACGGGCTGTAAACCATGATCCTTAGCTATTCAAATGAAGTATTTTACCACTAAGATGTAGAGTTTAAAATATTATAATACCTTTTAAATTTTCTTAAATAAAACATTATCTACATTAAAGCAAACCTTGTTAGACAATTTTAATTCAATGGGAAAGAAAAGTAACCTTGGGTGATAGAGGTTTGTAGAACTCATTTTTCACACTGTTGTGATTTGTAGACAAATAAGAGTTCTAATCCTGCCTTAGGCAGAGAAAAGCCAGCTGACTAACTTTGAGCCAGTCATTCCCTTTTAGCTCAACTTTATCATTGTTGAGAAAATAGGAGGCAGAAGAATTATGTGAACTGCCTGGAGTTCCATAAAAATAAAGGCAGCATATCACTCAATCAATCAAATAACTAAAATTCAAGAACAGATGTTTCTAAAGCTAAGGCAGACCAAACACAGAAAGGGGTAGAAAGCTTTAAATTACATTGTACTATAGTCTTAATTCAAGCATTCATTATGAAGTTACACAGCCTATTTTCTAATTATCTGTCCATTTACAGAATGTATATTATTGCCAACTTTTGATTTTTCAACATAATTCTGCATTGGTCAATATGTTATTTCCCACAAAGATATAGCAGCTACTAGTACACAAATGGCAAGAAGTTGCCTCTCACAGCCATTTGTTTAAAGACATCATTTGTTGGACAGATGAAATGTGTTAGCTGGAAACTAATGAATGGTAGATGGCAGCAGAGGATCAATACTTTCACTAAAAGTGCAATACAGTACTACAGGCCCTGGTAAACATGTTTTTTTAGTTTTTCACTGAGGTATAACAGGTACGAGAATCAAAGGGTTGTTATGACATTTTATTTATAATTTAAAGATCTGTTTACCTCCCAGTATGGCATGTAATTTTCCCCTCTGCACAAATAGAACTACGTATGTCATAAGTCTGACTTGGCTCAGTTGGGAGTGTGGCTATTGTACCAGGTTCCCTGCTGCATGGCAACTTCCTTGCCCGAGTTCCTGATTTCATTCCTGATTGGCAGAGGATTTCCCCAGACTTATGTTCTTGGAAGGGACTTCCATCTGCCTTCCTTGGAAACAGGGTTTAAGAAGGGTCAAGACTTCATAGCTACCATGACAGCTATGGACATATTCCAGGTCAAGAGCCAAACATGGGACTGTGGTCACACAACAGATCTGGAATTCCTGTTGGGAGCAGTGGTTATGTGATCCTCAATTTAGGGAGCTTTTGGTGTCCCCTTTGTAATGGTCAGTTCATGCCTTGATTACCATGGGATTCTTTCGCACCAATATGCACTGCAAGGAGGCTGGTCCTATTACATTGATCCACCCCTGATGGCAGTGGGATTTCAGCGGGAGCTGAGGGTTGTTCCTATTGGTCTCCTGCACTGTCTTTCCAAACCTTATTTACCACTAGGAATAAAGGGGCAACAGAGGTTTTGGATTAGATCCTGAGTATGCGACCTCTCCCCTTCTCACAGAACTCATCACTCCCTATGGTTTACAAAGGAAATGAGAGAAGAGATGTAGAGTACCACAAATGGAGAGGAACTGAACCGAACAAAGCTTAGAGCCTCTATCAAGGCCTACTTTGTGGCAGTAAGAGTGGTAAAGCAGCAGTACTTCTCAGTCTGCAAACTGCCATCCCCCACAGTTGTGTTTTGAGTGACACAAGCCCTCTTAGGTAAAGGGGTGCAGGGACATATGGAAGCTCCAACAGAGAGGGCATCTTACAATACCCATCTGCTAGGAAATCTTGTTTGGCAGGCCCGAGAGGGTGGCCGCCTGCACCATGGAATTTTCTCTACACTGAGAGAAGGCTGGTTTCACCACTTCTGAGCCTTCAAAGGTCCTTTAAGACTTTGTTATGCCAGCAAGCCTGAGGATCCCAGGGCATTGTAAGACATGTGTTATTTCCTTGTTTTGTTCTGTTTGTTATCCTTTTTATTAAGGCGTATTAATTAATGATGAGTGGCTTTACGTACATATTCGCTGTTTTAACTTTGTTATACACTGCCCATAATCACTTTTGGTGAGATCTATATAAGTTTAGTAAATAAATAATTCAGAAGGTGGTCAGAAATAATTCTTAAATAAACGGGATACAAGTTACATTGCAAAATTCTCTGCAGAAATTAGCTTGCCTAACAAAGAATTGCAAGAGCTCTTACTTGCTATAAGAGAATTCATGATGATGTGGGTGGCTTTGGCCTTCACTACTGGTGTCTTGTTCCCCTCAGATGAAGATGGGGGGATTTTAGCAGAGAGATGTTTGCTAGTCTCCCCTTCCTCAACCTATACAGAGGAAGCCAGATGCAATTTTGGAAAAAGAGACAAAATTAGGAGAATTTCAGCTAAAATTTCAACTCTTGATCTCGTGGGCAAAAGTTTTGGACCTTGCATGGAACACAATGATCTTGAGCTGACATATTTCCATTCTCTTGCCCACAATATGAAACACTATACAACATTTTGAAACAACTATTCTTGTGGCCATCTGATAATAAGAATTCACCTAAAGAAGCTTCTTTTATTTTCACTAGAAAAAGTCTAGCTAAAGAAATAACTAAAAAGGCTTTTTCAGCAATAATTCTCTTTCTCATGCATTTTTTTGCTTAAAGAGACAAGCACAATTTTCGGACTATGCACTATTTTTAAAAAGTAGACCATATCATAACTGCTTCCTTTCCTTATTAAAAAAAACCCTCTCAGTTATATAAAAGATACAAAATTAAAACTAAGCAACATAAAGTTATTTTAGTTATTTAAGCCTAGTATAGTTCATTTATAAATTTCATATCTTTATATAGCTCATATTTGTACTATAAGTATCAATTCCTTCTATATTAAAACAGTAATAAAGAATTTACAGAATGAGTAAACTGGGCTTGCAGATTTTATCTCATTTCCTTCCATTTAACCTAAAATTTGCAAAATAAAGATTCAGATCACACAGATTATACTCAGTGTAGAAGACATATAATCCTCTATTTACACCTATTTGTCTAGTGACCTTCTGAAGTTACGACAGTACAGGAAAAGCCACTTACAACCAGTCCTTGTATTTACAACTACAGATAGTCCTCAACTTACAACCACAATTGAGCCCAAAATTTATGTTGCTAAGTGAGAAATTTGTTAAGTGAGTTTTCCCCCATTTTACAACTTTTCTTGCCACATTTGTTAAATGAACCACTGCAGTTGTTCAATTAGTAATCAGGTTGTTAAGTGAGTCTGGCTTCCCCAATGACTTTGCTTGTCAGAAGATTGCAAAAGGCGGATCACATGACGCAGGGATACTGCATCCATCAGAAGTCTGAAAGATGGTCGAAAATCACTTTTTCAGTGCCATTGTAACTTTGAACGGTCACTAAGCAAACTGTTGTAAGTCGAGGACTACTTGTATTAGTGTCCCCACAGTCAAGTGACCGTGACTCGGGCCCTCGGCAACCAACATGTATTTATGATGGTTGCAGCAACCTTCCCAAATGACTTCTGACAAGCTAAGTCAATGGGGGAAATCAAATCTGCTTAACAACCTCAGCAAAAAAATGTCATAGAAACGGTCACATGATGACTCGCTTTATGACTGCATTGCTTAGTGGCAAAACTTCCCATTCCAATGGTGGCTGGAAATCAAGGGACTACCTGTATACTTTTTCATCTAAAAGGTTTTAATTAAAATACATTCCTTTGCTCAAAGTGCTTTAAGAATTATACTTGCTCTCCATTGCTGTCTCTCATTCATTTTATAAGAAACATTTTAGCAAATCTGATCAGTGCAGAACTGTGTCATTTTAAAAAAGTTGTTTTACCTCTATGGATTTATGGCTTTAAAAAATGTATCGCTTCTTCCAATCAAATGTTTTGATATGTTTTAGTTGTTAGTTAGGAGATGAAGCACCATCTCCTCCAAAGTATCATTAGAAATGTTATGCTATCTCTTTATTACCTCAACAAACTGCATACCTGGGAAATCTTTTCATATTTGTGACCTGGAATGACTGGTTCTTTCCATAAGATATTGGTGGTTATGTTTGAAGGAGGAGAAGTCATTGGTGTTGTATCCTCTAAGGCATCATCGTAACTGAATGCCCGACGATTCATTCCAATTGGCTGGGAGATCTTCCCTAGAAGGCTTCCCGAGCCATGTTCTATAGCTAAGGACAGAGATTGAGATTTCACACAATAATTTGGACTTTTAGTGTTTTACCTTTTCATAAGCAGAATAGATAATATTAGCCCTTCTTTCATCAAGGGCCTTCTAGGATCAGTGCCATGATTTTGAAATGCCTTTGATAGGGCTAATACAGCATTTATAACCAAATAAAGTGCAAAACATTATATCATGACCTAATATAGGATGGCAATCTTTCCCTTTGAGGTGCACACTGCTTAGAAAAGACTAACAAGCCTAAAGCAAGAGGCAGATAAGGACACTAATTGTACAGGGCGGGGCATAACCTTTTCCTAGGGGGTCACAGCAACACTTGTAATAACAACACAAATAATTCATACACCATTCGAAAGCCCATCAAAAACTGAGTTTATTGACACGATTTAATAGTCAGTATGACCACCATTAGCCCTTCGAACAGCATTCAAACGAGGTGGATAAGAACACAACAAATCTTCAAACAGTTCCGTTCGATTTTCCAGATTTTTCAACACAGTTTCCAAATTCATTCTCAAAGTTTCAACCGAATATCGATTTTGACCTTGCTCCTGAATCATCAGAGCTTCCACTTCATCCTTAATTATGGCCCCAATGTTCTCTGCCGGATTGAGATCTGGCGAATTTCCCGGCCAGACGTCATTGCCCCAAAATTCGACATTGTTTTCCTTTAACAATTGCTGAGTCGCATTTGCACGCATGCAAGGAGCTTTGTCATGAAGAAAGACAGCCTCACCAACCACCAAGACATTGTCTGGATCACTGAGAAATGGAATGACATTCTCCAATAAAATTTTCTCACGGAAATAACTGCCATCCCAGGATTCCCCTTTATCCTTCAAAACCCAATGCAGTTTCTTGGCTGTGAAAATGACGAAAATCCCGATGCAAGTCGGATTGCGAACGATTTGTCGATATCGTTCATGTTTGGCGATGTCGTCGACGTCTTTAGCCCAAATTCGATCGTTCTGGAAATTCGGTTTTCGAATGGCATAAACGAAGAATTCGTCAGATGGCGCCAAATGAAGAAAATCTTCCTCGGTCCATTCAGACAACCAATCGCACAACCAAAGCCGATCTTGAACGTGTGTTTGAGTTTTCAATGGTTTGCAAATGACGTGGAATGGCTTCAAACCTTCTCGTTCTCGATATCGGCCGATTGTCCTTTGATCAACTCGTTTTCCACGAATTTGAAGGATTTCTTGGGCCACTTTTCGGTTTCCTTTTCGTTGTTTGCGACTGCCAGTTGCAATGATGGCTTTGCTTTCTTGGGACAGTTGCAGAGGACGCCCTTCTCCAAATTTTGTGAAACATTCTTGGGCTGTTTTGTTCCAATTATCAGTAACCCAATCCGGATGACGTTTCAATTTGTTTGCAATCCATTTTCGATTGATAAACGTCGCTTCAGCATCGCGAGCCTCTCGAAAGGCAATGCATTTTATTCTGTCAATGATCCTTTGTTCTTCCGAATCGAATTTTCCAGCCATTCTTAAAGCAAATTTAACATTTAATAGCTCATTCAATTCAGTTTTTTATGGGCTTTAAAATGAGGTGTCGCGGAAGTTGTAAACTGCTGTCGATCTTGCTGTGACCCCCTAGGAAAAGGTTATGCCCCGCCCTGTAAATGAATTTGCATTTCTTCTTGGCAAACTTTTTAACCATATTCCCGCTCATAGCAGTTACTGCTAGAGAAAAGCAGATTTTTTTCAACAGTCTCATCTGACCCCTTGCAAAGTATCTTCTGATATTTCTGATATTTCTACCTTTAGTCTAAAGTTTCCATGTTGCCCTAGGATCCTGGTTTCCCATCCTTGATTTAAACATCTTCTGTTTCATACATTTATTTCAAATGTGACATGTAAAACAATTTATGGCTATAAAATTCTTAGCGGCCTAGCCAAATATTTTAGAAATGTTGTTACAGCTGAATTGCTAAAATACAATTTTAATGTCAAAAACATTAGGACAGCGTATGAACTAGATGTTCTTTTAATAAGCTGATTATATGGCACAAAGCTGGTGTCAACTACATTGATAGACTTTCTCCATGATGATCTTTCCCCAACCTGATCTTCCAATGATGCACTGCATTGCCAGTTAAGCCATCTACTTTGCTGCTATTCATCCTCTTTTCTCTCCCCCCCCCCCTTTTCCTAACCTTCTCTAGAGAACTAGGTCTTTGCATAATGTGTGAAAAAGTAGGATAATTTGAGGCTGGTCATTATGCTTCAAGTGAGAACTCTGGATTGATTTGTTCAATCATCTATTTATTTGCCTGGATGTCCACAGTATTCTCAGAAGGCTTCTCCAATTCCAAAGTTCAAAAATAACAACATTTATTTAATCCTGCTTTTTTGAAGTCCTGATTGCATATCCTGATAATTGTAGATATATGTAACATCACTTCTGTGTGGGCTTCATTGGTTACTAGTATATTTCTGGGTGCAATTCAAGGTGCTAATTGTCATGGCTACATAGCTTGAAACCGGGTTACCTCAGGGATCATCTCTACCAGTCCAACCCAATCCAGAAGAATGAGCATGCTGCAGATCCTGTCAGCCAAAGAGTATTGGCTGCCGAGGGGTTCCAACATGTGCTTTTTCCACAGCGACCCCTGCTTTATGGAACATCCTCCCTTTGGAGATAGAATGGCCTGTTAGCCTTTGTGTAAGATCTTACAAACCTGGCTATGTTCCCAAGTCTGAGACCTTGAATGTATTAAGGATCCCACTTCCTGGCTGTTTTGCTAACTGGCCAAGTATCTCATCTGCTATGTTTATTTATTCTGGATGTTTTGTTGTTTTAAAGTGCTTTCAGTGTCCTAATTGTAATATATTTTTTTAATTGTAAACTGCCCTTGGTCATTAACTGAGATTGGTGGCTATAGAAAGTGATGAATAAATAATAAATAAATTATAGATACAGCATGGTCTATGAATATCTTTTTCAAGGTCTTGATTCATATTTGACTGTACCTTTATTGTTAAGAGTTGATCCTAAAAGGCAGAAGCTATCCATCTCTCCGATATCCTCGCTGTCAATTCTAAGGCTGGTTGTTGGATTTCTTGCCATTAGTTTGTTCTTTGTATTTAGTTTTGGTCCCATTCTTTCAGTGTACTTTTTGACTATCACAGGTAGTCCCTAGGTTATGATGGCAATTGGACTGAGACTGTAATTGCTAAGCGATGCAGTCATAGAGCGCAATGTCACATGACCAGACTCTTAATGACATGCTAGCCATCCTGGATAACATCATTTCCCCAAGGCATGTGAGTCATTACAATGAAAGTGACAAGAGTCCCAGATGAGGAGGGCAGGAATGCTATAGAGGGGGAGGCTGGGGAAAACCCTGGCAGGACCAGCAAAGGCCCCTTATGAGCTAGGAGATGCCAGTGTGTGCTGTAGCACAAATTGGGAGGACACCGGGTATGTGTGTGTGTGTGTGTGTGTGTGGCACAATGGGATGTGTATGCAGGAGGGTGGGTGGGAATTACCAGAGTAACTTTAGATATTATTTGCTGGCATCTCCTGCTGACTTTGCCTGTGGCAAACTGGCAGAGAAGGTCGCAAATGGCAATCAGATGACCAAGGACTGGTCATAAGTATCACTTGTTCAGAACTACCACAACTTCGAACAGTTGCTGAACAAGAGATCCATAAGCAAGGACTACCTGTATTACTAGATCTTGGCGCTCCTTTGTATTTTTAGCTATCAAAGTAGTATCATCAATGTAACACAGGTTTTGGATCTTTCTTCAATTTTAAAACCATCTTCAAATTCTTCCAATCCAGTTTCCTTTAATATATGTTCAGCATTAGGTTAAATAAATAAGGGGAGACACTATGGCCTTGTTTTTCCTCCTTAGCCAATATAGAGCCAGTACATTTCACTATGTTCTATCCAAAAACATCATTTTTTCACTAAGGTAATGAGATGTTCTGAAATTCCCATTTTCTAAGCACATTCTATAGCTTAATAATTGATACAATTGATATTTCTGTAATCAAGGAAGCCTAGGCTGGCTTCCTTTTGATATTCGTTGGCTTTCTCAATTATACAGCATATATCAGCAACATCATTTGGTGTTACCTTTACTAAAGCCAGTTTGAACAAGTGTCATCTCATTTTCCATTGAGGAATCTAATTGGCATTGGATGATTCTAAGCTTCATTTTTAGTATGTGGAATTATGGATATTATACAATAGTTTGCATATTCATTTATGTCTCTTTTTTTGGTATTAGAATATAGATCAGGGTTCCACAAAATGGCCAGTATCAACCCTCAAGGCTTGATGAGATTGTTGTTGTGGTTATTATTATGCCTAATAGCATTAAAGTAATATTTATTAAATCATTTTAATATAATAAATATTTGGGGGTCAATGAACAATCTGAATCTCCATGAAGGGATTAATTAGCTGAAGAGCTTGGGAACCCCTGACAGAGATAGATCTTTAGTCCCCAGACAAGAACACTGTCATTCTCCAAATTTGCTGGATATTTAAGTCTTCTTTTGTGGTTTGACATATTTCTAGTATTTGAGGTTCCTTTAAGTAGGGAATATTTTTAAATACATCTTGGATGTTTACATCTCTGTACATTTGTAGTGTATTTTAGTGTACATCTTCAATCTTTCATCGATCTTTGAATCAATTACTATCTGTCCATTAATGTCCATTAGCACATCAATTTGAGGTTGGAATCTTTTTCTGAATTCAGAAATCTTTTGGAAGACTTTGTTTTTCCATGTCTGTTTCCATCTTCAGTGACTTCAGAGATGCCATTGTAATACTGCTCTTGTCTCTTCTAACAGTTCTCTGAAACCCTTTATTAAATTTCTTCCTGAGATTTTTGTCTTGTCTTTGGCTTCTCTTTATGGCAATTTCCACAATTAGTTCAGACATCTGGTTTGCTTTCTTCCAAATACCGGAAAGAGAGGCAGTATGAAAAGGCTGAACATTTTACTTATAAATGCATGAGGATTTTGAAATATTTTCTATTGCTGATTAAAGATGTATACTAGCCTAATGTACTACCCCCAAATCGTGAACTTTTTTCCACATATGGACACGGAACAGAGGCATACTAGCTCTTCAATCAAAACAAACATGCTCAGTAGCAATTTAATTAGGACTCAAAAGAATAGAAATTAACATCAGAATAACTAAATACATAAATCAATAGATAGCAAATAAAACCTTTTTTAAAAAAGAGAATGTAAGAACATAGTATTTAAAAAAAAACCCTAGACCATCAAGTCCAACCTCCAATCCAAAGAGGAATCCAAATTAAACGAGCCAGAACCCTGCTTAGTTTGCTTATTTCTTTTTTTAAAATTATATGGCTGCCCCATCCTAAGCAATTCTGAGCACTTCACAACGTATTCAATTATTCTTGAATAAATTCAGTACAAGAGTCTAGCCATCTATTTCTCTAGCCTTTGGTTCTGTCATACAGACTCCTGGATGTAAGTAAACCCTCCTTAAAACAGTATTACAAAACCCTTCAGAAACGTTAATTGGAAACTAAGCATTTGTTACAATCACTACTGCACCCTGTTTTAATATATATGAATTCTGTATCAATTAGTTTTACCAGGAACATCTGTTGGTCTCGAAGTCATGATTGTAACTCCAGATGCTTCACTATTTAGAAATCCAGGACAGGGCTGCTGTTACCTAATAAAAATATAAGATATTTTGGTCTGTAATAATTAGAGTAGAATAAAATATCTTGGCTTATGATAAAACCAAGAATATCACAAGAAAGTTCTTTTTTTTTAAAGAATGCATGCTGCTGAATAATTTGAAGCAGCAATATGAAACAACATGATAAATTAATTGATCCAGGTATTGTTATGATAAAAAAGGCCAAAATATCTTACCACAAGTTATGATGACAGAAAGATGTCAAAATAAGGCATTCTCTTGCTGAAGCTGAAACTATCAAATCATCCCCAGGAGCTTCCATGCAGAAAGACTAACAAAAATTAAGAAGCAAGATTTTTTTTTAATTAAAGCAGTAAGAAACATTGCAGCAGATGTTTATATTTCCTAGGTATTATTAGGTATGCTTAGAATTGCTTTAACTATTTTATTTTTTTAAATAATTTTTTTATTTTCAAACATAAACATGCAAAACATTTAACATAAAAAAATCTCTTTAACTACATACAGTGTGTCAATCGGTTATAAAATCTTTCTCCGTCTTTTCCATAGTCATCACTTGTGCTTTATCAAAAATCACTTATTGTCAATCAAATATCTTCATACATTATTATTGAACTTCATTTGTTTAATTATCACTATTGTCTCACCATTTTAAACAAGGTACTCTAAATATGTATCCATTTATATTATGATGATTCATTATATCATCTTCAATATATCCAATATTTTGTGTCCTATTCTAAATCATTCTATTATTTTAGCATTAAGAACATTCTCTAATAATTTTCAATGCCATGTTTTCCATTATTAGTATCATCAATCTAACATACATTTATACAAATTATTATAATTGTTAAACTTCCATTAAGCATAGTTATTATTACATCCTTTTTATATGGCATATTAAATTTGAAGTAAATTTATATTATGGCATTTCATTACATCATCTTGAAATCATCCAATGATATTACATCTTTATATACTATATAGAATTATTTATCTTTTATAAAAAGGCTTTTCAACATCATCTCCATCATCCTCACTTACAGTTTATATAA